CAGGCACTCCCATTTCTTTAAGAACTTGCCATAGTTCGCTGTGGTCCACGCAGCTATGCAGATTCGTCATTAAACGGTGCGCTCGTTAAGCGAGGCACCACTGTAGATGTTTTTCTGGAAATCTCTGGCTTTCTCCATAATCCAGCACATGTTAGCAATTTGGTCTCTAGTTCCTCTGCCCCTTCAAAATCCAGCTTGTACTTCTGGGAGTTCTTGGTCCACATACTGCTGAAGCCTGCCTTGTAGGATTTTGAGCATAACCTTGATCGGATGTGAAATGAGTGCAACTGTACGGTAGTTGGAGCATTCTTTGGCACTGCCCTTCTTTGGGATTGGGATGCAGACTGATCTTTTCCAATCCTCTGGTCACTGCTGAATTTTCCAAACTTGTTGGCATATTGAATGTAGCACCTTAACAGCATCATCTTTTAAGATTTTAATTTAAATAATTCAACTGGAATGCCATCACCCCCACTGGCCTTGTTGTTAGCCATGCTTTCTAAGGCCCACTTGATTTCACTCTCTAGGATGTCTGGCTCAAGGTCAGCAGCCACACTATTTGGGTTGTCCAGGACATCCAGGTCTTTGTGGTATAATTCCTCTGTGTATTCTTGCCACCTCTTCTTGATGTCTTCTGCTTCTGTTAGGTCCCTACCATTTTTGTCCTTTATCATGTCCATCTTTGCACAAAATGTTCCTGTAACATCTCCAATTTTCTTGAACAGATCTCTGGTTTTTACCTTTCTATTATTGTCCTCTATATCTTTGCACTATTCATTTCAGAAGGCCCTCTTGTCTCTCCTTGCTATTCTTTGGACATCTGCATTCAATTTTCTGTAACTTTCCCTATCTCCCTTGCATTTGGTTTCCCTTTTTCTCTCTGCTATTTGTAAGGCTTCGTTGGACAGCCACTTTGCTTTCTTGCATTTCCTTTTCTTTGGGATGGTTTTTGTTGCTGCCTTCTGTATAATGTTACGAGCCTCCATCCATAGTTCTTCAGGCACTCTGTCCACCAAATTTAGTTCCTTAAATCTGTTCTTCACTTCCACTGTGTATTCATAAGGGATTTGGTTAAGATTATATCTGAATAGCCCAGTGGTTTTTTCTACTTTCTTCAGTTTAAGCTTGAGTTTTACTATAAGAAGCTGCTGATCAGAGCCACAATCAGCTCCAGGTCTTGTTTTTGCTGACTTTATAGAGCTTCTCCATCTTTGGCTGCAGAGAACATAATCAATCTGATTTTGGTATTGCCCATCTGGTGATGTCCATGTGTAGAGTCGCCTCTTGTGTTGTTGGAAAAGTGCTTTTTATGACCAGCTTGTTCTCTTGACAAAACTCTATTACCTGAAGTACTGACATTCAAAAAGCATGGTGTAGCGATCACCACCTTTTCTGAACCATTTCCCTTCTTTTAAATAAAAAGATGGAAGAATCAGTGGAAAATGGAGAATTCCAAAAAACTCGGTAGTTACAGATGTAAGGGATTATATTAGATGGCCTTTGTGGAGGTTTTCAGATTTACTGCCGGAACTCTAGTGGTTCTTTCGACCAGCCTAAATTGTCCTAGCAAATTGCCACTTGCTGACAAGTCGCTACAGGCATTCCTCAGCACACGCCAGGTCGCAAGGGTAAAGAGCGCAGCCCTTGACTCGTTGACAAGTGGCAATTCACTAATTGGCATTTATGCAACTGCGCTTGTACTAGCACAAACATCCAGTAGGCCTACGTCCAATACCTCTGTGACTTGGGCGATGTGTAGGTATCACTTCCTCCCCGTTAAAATCCGTGTCTGAGTCACTTTTATTATTGCACAATAAAAGTGTCAGTGAGAAGTGCTCCTGGAACCGGCTAAAGAGTGAATTTTGTCAAAGTATCTGCCTAGGAGAGGGAAAACGGCACGATTTATTTCCATGGGGACAATTAGAAGCCAGAATTTAAGACGCCCGCCCTCATTTGCTCCATGCGCATTCATCACAAGGGCGCGCGCCCGCCTCAAGCTTTTTGCATCCCCTTCTCTTGGGAAAGACGACCTTGCGAGAACGAGTACACAAGCCGGGCGGTTGGCCGAATTGCGCAGGCGCCATAGCTTAAACTCGCCTATACCCAGTCCGACCCCGACTAGCTCGTCTCGATGGGCTTTGAGCGGAAGTGACGTCTAAAGGGGGGGAAGGAAGCGACTGGAGGCGCTGGACTTTTGCGCCGGCGCACTGGTCGCTTGGCGCTTCACATCTACGTTGTCTCCATTTGTAGTGTGGCTAGAAAGGAGATCGGTTCGTCTCCCGCCAGTTTCCGTCGTTTTGAGTTGGTGACTCGCCGTAAGGCTCCTTCGCCAAGATGTATGATGCGGACGAAGGTGAGCCGAACCGGGTTGGAGGCTTGGGGCTGGTCAGATAGACTCCCTCTGTCCATGGAGGATCCTTTGTTGGATGCTGTTCTTGGGTTTTAAAGATCGTCTCTCCTGGGGGTCTCAGGCCGGTTAAGAGTAAAAAATTCTTCTTGAGCAGAGTGACCCGATGAAGAAGAGGACAGGCTGGAGGCGGACATTTGGGCAGGTGTCGCTTGCTTCGAAAGCAGCACCTCCTGAAATGGCTTCTTCTAAGCAGCTGTTAAAGGCGCAGGAATCCTGCCCTCTTTTTCATCCAGTCTCGTTATCCTTCGCTTCCATTACAGGAGTTGGACTGACAGCACCACTGTATGAACGGCTGGTGTTGTTAGCCCATATTATAGGGTTGGGATAGGAAGAAAGAGAAAGAGAAAGATAGAGTAGCACAGAGTCAAAGATTTATGGCCTATGAAGTCATTGGCTTAGATTTTATTTACAGGATGAACAGTGCAGAGAGATGAAGCTGAGAAAGAGTCTTGTAGCACCTTAAAGATGAACAAATGGTCCTTGGCATGTGCTTTTGTGGTTGCAGTCCATCAAAGTTTACACCATATCAAATTTAGTCAGTTGTAAGGAAAGGAAATAAGCATATCGGGAAGTAAGCAAAGTCACAACTTTATGAAGTTGATTAGTTTCAGTAAACAATAGTTCAGGTTAGCACTGTTGTCAAATGCTTAAATCTAAGATAGTGTGTCACATTCAGCTTTCTCTCTCTTTTTGTGCAGCAATGTCCAATTCACAATTTGTGTGGGTGCAGATTTTAAAAATACCCTGTTTCCCCGAAAATAAGACCCTGAAAATAAGCCCTAGTATGATTTTTCAGGATCCTCGTAATATAAGCCCTATCCCCAAAATAAGCCCCAGTTAAGTGAAACCCTGCCCTCCACCATTGTGCAGCAACCAGAAGATGACATGTCTATATTTGCATAAATGTAGATTGCTGTACATGAAAAAATAAAACATCCTCTGAAAATAAGCCCTAATGCGTTTTTTGGAGCAAAAATTAATATAAGACCCTGTCTTATTTTTGGGAAAACATGGTATATCTTCAGTGCCCTCACCAGTGCTAAATAATTGATGGTGTTCAAAACCAACAGTAGCTTCACTGATACTATTCAACTATCCATCCATTCAGTTTGTATCCTGCTCCCAATAGTGTCACAACACTACTCTAGGCAGATTACAACTCTTAAATTAGAAAGTAAAAATAGAAATATTAAAATCGATAGCAATAACCCTTTAAAAAAACTCAGATGGCACCAACTAATCTCAGAACAGATGGAGGAAAAGGGGAGGGAAGAAGAGGAGGTGAGAGAAAATAGCGTGGGGAAGGTGATTAGCTGGGGTCGGTGTAGAAAGCCTCCCTGAAAAGCAGTGTCTTTAACTGCTTCCTGAAAGTCCACAGGGAGGGGGCTAGGTGGAGCTCCCCTGGAAGCTGGTTCCATAAAGTTGGAGCCACCACGAAGAGGACTTACCTTTTGTAGAGAATTTATGGGCCTCCCTTGGGGTGACCACCCGGAGGAGCCTTGACTGGGATGATCTTGTGGGTCAGGCAGATGACATTAAGGAGAGACACTCTGACAAGTAACATGGACCCAAAGCCATGCAGGGCTTTGTATGTGTGTGTCAAAACCTTGCATCTGATCTGGGATGCCACAGGCAATCAGTGGAGTTGAGCCAGAACTGTGTGATTTGGTCAAATTTACTTGCAACAATCACCAATCTGGCTTTCACATTCTGCACCCACTGAAGTCTCTCGATCAGGTTCAAGGGGAGCCCCATGTAGAGGGCATTGCAGTAATCGACCCAGGAGATGACCAGGGCCTGTGCCAAATTCTTAAGGCAGTCCTCATCTAAACAGGGTGAAGTTGGGTGATTAGCCTAAGCTGGTTAAAGGCCACGGCTGCGATCTGGGACTCCCAAGAAAGAGCCAGGTCCCGAAGAATGCTCAAATTAGGCACTTCGTCCCTAAACTGCAGGGGAGTGCCATCCAGCCTAGGGACCATCCCCCCTAACCTATCGGAGGTCCCCCCCAGAAGCAAAATCTCTATTTTGTCCAAGATCAGTTTGAGTCTGTTGAGCCTGATACTAGGAACAAAAAGATACGTAATGGTGAGAGGTGTTCATGTGAGGTTTTGAACTGTACATTCTGAACTGACCCTCATAATAATGATGTATAAAGCAGAATTTTGAATTGCAGTTGTGATCACCTTCTCAACCCTTGTAAAGTGGAACTAGAAATGCAGTCCTTTTTTAATTTTTTGATTTGCCTTAGAGACAGCTTTCTTACAGAGCAACCCTGTATGTGTTTACTTGGAACTAAATTACACTGAGTTCAGGGGGTGGGGGTGTTCTTTCCATATAAGCGCACATAGGATTATACGCTTAAGTACTGTTACAGTTGAACAGTTAAACATATGAAAAGCAAACTGATGCTCTTATTCAGTCATAGACCACATGGGTAGAATCCTTGGCACACAAGATAAAGTAGATTTAATTCCCTTAAGTATCTTGAATAGCAGGTCTGATAAAGATATCTGACAGATCTTAAAAAACAGTTGCCATTGGGATTTATCAGCCATAGGTTTAAGAAATAAATATAACAAACAAGCAACTTGTATAGATCTTGTGCAAATCTTTACATGGCAACGACTGAAGAAATAACAGCTGAATGTATTGGTCTTTACTTGGCAGATATGCAATATGATGAGGACGATGATGAAATTACCCCAGACTTGTGGCAGGAAGCATGTTGGATTGTCATCAGGTAAATATAAAATCAATGTGATCTAACCAAAAGTAAGCACTTTTTATACTTTCACTGTATTTCAGTGAAAATAAAAAACATCTACCTAACCTCTTTCACTGAAATCAGTGGGGCATGGAGCTGACAGAATGGACATTTTCTGAAAAGAATGACCCTCTGATTTCAATGGGATTTATTCCTGAAGAGAATTACATAGTATTGCAGACATAAAACTCTTAACTTTGGTTGGATTTTATACAACTTTTAAAATGTATTATTAGGTGTTGATGCAAGTAACATTCTGTGATAATATGATAGGAGATAATACAATGACATTATAAGACTGCACAATTGAAATAGCACATTTGTAATAGCAGTTTCCAAATTATTTTGTTCAAGGAAGACATACATTTTAACAACATTTTATCTACTGTATATTGACGCCAACTACTGACAGTGGTTTAAATGTTAGAAATATGTCCTAATTGACGTTTCTATTCCGTTACCACAAAAGAAGACAAGTTATTTGGTTCAGATGCGTCTGAGACTTTATTTGGGAAGGGGGAGGCGAAGAATAACGGACCCTCACAGAAAGTCACTTCATTTTTATGTCTTATAGTGAAAAATAGATTTTCACTGTACTCTTGATAAAGATTTCCCTGTATAAGAACTGAAAAAAATTGATCTGTTTCTGCAGCATGTCAGCTGTGTATGTATCTAGTGATAGATTTCCCAGAGCTGCAGCTATATTGAATTCCACTGTATAGTGCAATATTAATGTGTTGTGCGATGGGAAATTGAATGTGAAGGATGTGGATGTGAATGAGAGGGATGTGTTTATGTGTAGTGTGCTGTGTTTTCATGTTATGGATGCTATGTTCTTGTGTGTTTTATTATTATGTGTACTGGAGATAGCATTTAATTTCGTTGTACGGAAGTATAATGACAATAAAGTAAATTCAATTCTGTTCAGTTCAGTTCAATTCAATAGATTTGTTCAATCTGATTACCACACACTGCATTTTAAGAGAGTGTTACTTTTTGTGCGCACCTTTTCATAATATACACATTTTTCTATGCTTTTTTGAGTCAAAAACTGTGTTATAAATGCACAGTCAAGGGCCTACGTGCATTCTGATTTTCCCTACTACTACAGAATGTAGAGGTTAAGTCAGTGCACCCAAGAGCCAAATAAAATCTTCCTTATCTCTGCTGTTTAGTCATATTACTCAGATGCAGTTAGGACTCTTAAGAATTAATCACCAAACAGTTTAACACTTGTGCATGGTCTCTTCCCCCTCCTTTTTCTTCACTATTTCACTTGTCCTACTGCACCATCTCCCCTGCTTTTACATGTGCCTACATTTCTCAGTCTTAATTTGTAGGCAAAGCACCACCAACTACTTGCAACTTTCTGATTATTTGCTAGACAAAGTAGTTCTGAATGCTTTGGATGCAGGAGGTCCCAAGTGCAGTCCTGGTCATTTTTTATTTAAAAAGATCACAAAGTGTGGATGTGTGAAGCAGCTGTGAAGAGCTGCTGATGGGTACAGTAAATAGTGCAGGACTCTGTGACTGAGCACCGTACAAGTGTGCACATTCCACAGCTGTGGTTCTTGATGAATGTTTCCACCCTGTAGACACAGAATAGATTTCATGCTGTAAGGAGGGCACAAATAAGAAAGGTATCTGAGAATTGTTCTGGGAGAGCTGAAAGCACAGAAGCTTCTGTTTCCACGGTAGTAGTCATTAAAGCTGAAATGTTTAATTGATAGTTGCTTATGTCCTTAAATTTTTCAGTTGAATTAGAAGGCACTACTAATTATTGATCTTTTGAAAAAAAATAAGATTCAGTTACTTCTCAACATTTTAAAAACTAAGTGATGTCTTAAGAGACAGATTCATCTGTCTGTGTGGTGTTGGAGGGAAAGCTTCTTTCAAGATGATGCATGCTGCAATACATGAATCTAAAAATGAAAGTAATGCCTTTTTGTTTTGAAGCTCTTGGTCTTGCTTATGAGCAAATGTAATCAATTGGTTGACTAATGCTTCTGTACTGACGAGGTGAGTGCTCCAGTGGTAGTGCTTGAAGTAAATGTATTTCGAATGGATTGAAACAGTAATTCACTTTATTAACTGAACCTTGTCTGTTTTCCAAAGCTCCTATTTTGATGAAAAAGGCTTAGTGCGACAACAGCTGGATTCTTTTGATGAGTTCATTCAGATGTCTGTGCAGAGAATAGTTGAAGATGCCCCACCAATTGATCTACAAGCAGAAGCTCAACACGCTACAGGAGAAGTAGAAGAGCCGGTAAGTCTTGGCCCTGGAGTTGAAGGGATGGCAGCGTCGGTGCCAGTCTCGCACCTCCTGGTGGGGAGAGTGTTCCATAAATGGGATGTCTAGCAGAAACAAAAATAGCTGCAAAGACAAAAGAACTGTGGCAACTTAAGGGCTAACAGATTCAGTTTAGTGAGAGCTTTTGTGCATTATGATCTGTTTCTTCAGACACTTTGAGGGGAATGTGACCCAACGGAGAACTGGCAGAACACCCACATCTTAGACATGGGGGCCACCTACCCACACGGCCCATGAATTAGCTTTGGTTTACTGGCTGTCATTGAGTCTGTTACAGGGTCCATACCCCAGATTAGCAAGTAAAGAAACAAATGAATAAGAAAAAAAATAAGCTAAGAATAAGCTAACATTCATGTTACAGGAAATATGAACAAAGTTCTTCCTCTGGTTGTTGGGATCTTCTTTTTGCCTCTTTCTGACATCTCAGATTTCAGTGTTAAAAACAAAAGCAAAAGGCAAAGCGTGCTGCTTATATACTGCCCCATAGCGCTTCAAGCACTCTCTGGGTGGTTTACAAGTTAATGATGCAGGCTACACAGTGGCTCCCCCCCCCCCCCCCGCGAGCTGGGTACTCATTTTACCGCCCTCGGAAGGATAGAAGGCTGAATCAACCTTGAGCCAGCTACCTGGAATTGACCCCAGGTTGTGAGCACAGTTTTGGCCGCAGTACAGCAGTTTCACCACTGCGCCACGAGGCTCTTTCACGAGTACCAGTTGTCTGTGAATGTTCAGATCTGTCTTTGCAGTCATGAGTAGAGGTGGCTTGGAGATTCATGTCAGTTTGTAGGCATGGTACCTATAGGCATGGTGCCTGTCCCCTGCCTCCTCAGTTGGCTCTCCCCCCCCCACTCACCAGCTGGTGCGCCCTCCATTCCTCCTCTTTGGCTGTTCAACCCGTTTCGACCAGCAGGAGCACAGGCTTCCATGCCCTGCCGCCTTGGCTGGTCGGCCCCTCAGACAAGAGGCAAGGTAGGCAAACTCGTGCTCCTGCTGGGGACTGTCCGAACAGCCGAAGAGGAGAAGAGTGCGTGTGCTCCGACTGGTGAGGGGGTTATTGGCCCACTCTACCCATCTCTAGGTCTGAGGATTAGTTGATACTCTCTACTAAATTTTGCATAATCCTGCTAAAAGAAATTATGTGAGAACGATAGAGGTTCCTGCTTGCTATATGAAATGTGTAATTAAAAACTATGTGTCTGGGTTATTTTCAGCCACGTTATCTTCTGAAATTTGAACAAATTTATCTGTCCAAGCCTACGCATTGGGAAAGGGATGGTGCTCCTTCGCCGATGATGCCAAATGAGGCCAGGCTGAGAAACCTTACGTAAGAAATGCCTGTTCTGTTGTGAACATCATGGTTTGGTGAATTGGTTATCTCTCTCCGAAGCCAAAACAATAGCACAAAATTATGTTTAATATATTTCACAGGTATTCTGCTCCGTTGTATGTGGACATAACTAAAACAGTTATTAAGGAAGGAGAAGACCAGTTGCAGACACAACATCAAAAAACATTTATAGGAAAAATTCCTATCATGCTGCGATCAACGTATTGTCTCTTAAATGGTTTGACTGACCGTGATCTTTGTCAACTGAACGAATGCCCCCTTGACCCTGGCGGTTATTTCATTATTAATGGCTCAGAAAAGGTAAGGTAATATGCCAACCACCACTTCTAGGGTGGTATCACATTTATTGAAGGGATGTTACAAATGAGCTCCCAGAGTTTTTCCTAGTTGCCCCTACAGTGGTGCCTTGTAAGACGATTGCCTCGCGGGACAATTAATCAGCAAGACGATGGGTTTTTGCGATTGCTGTTGCACTTTGCAAGACGGTTTTTCCTATGGACAATTTTCGCAAGATGATGTTTGGGTCTATGCTTCACAAGACAGTTTTCTCCCCATTGGAACGCATTAAATAGATTTCAGTGCATTCCAGTGGGGAACCGTGTTTCACAAGACCAATGTTTTCGCAAGACAGTGATTTTCGTGGAACGAATTAACATCATCTTGTGAGGGACCACTGTATTTGGTTGGTCTGAACACTGGGCTATTCCTTGTGTGGTTATGTGGGGGTGGGATGGGATTTCCAGTTCCATCTTCTGCTTAGAACAAAGCAGGGAGGAAAGCTAGACTTAAAGATACTAAGGCACATAGGAGTTGCTCTTTTTGCTGAATGGACTTGAACTGAGGTGGCCTTGGACCAAGATTTTAGACCATCTTTCAGAGATTTCCGGTGGTTGGTCCACCACATTTTAGAAGAACTGAGATCATTAATGTGCTAATGTTGTTTGTGCCATCAAGTTCTTTCCGACGTACGGCAGTCCTGTTAGCTGCAAAGTACTCAGAAGTACATCCTTTTGGTAGCACTGCAAGGCCATGCAACTTACCCAGGACTACATGGGTTGAAAGACACTTTAACCTGTCATTCACACATACTCCTAACCTCTGGCTCCACAGCCAGATACCTAAACCGCAGAGTAGATATGGGGGTATTCGTATACGAATACAAATGTCCCCACACAAGTGGAAATAACTCAGTGAGTCAAAGTGATTCCTTATGAAAGCAAATGATTTAATCTTTGTCTCCTTATGTTCTGCGGACAGGTTCTGATTGCCCAAGAGAAGATGGCTACAAACACAGTATATGTCTTTGCAAAGAAGGACTCCAAATATGCATACACAGGAGAATGCCGCTCTTGCCTGGAGAATTCTTCGCGGCCCACAAGTACTATATGGGTTAGCATGCTGGCCAGAGGTGGGCAGGTGAGCATTTTTCACATATAGTTGAACTTTGGGGATCTTTGGAGGATGAGCAGTGTGTTTTTGAATGGCTTTGATTTTAAACTTTTAACTCCATAACCAGACCTGAGTTGTGGGGCGAGTGACGGCTGAGTAGTTTTCTGAGTCCCACCCAGCCTGCATTGGGTTTCCTTTGAGTTGACAGAGTTGTGGACTTCTTCCTCAGCTCAGTTCTCCTGTCAGTTCAGTGGGAGCAGCCGTGCCTCTTTAAGTTCCTTTTGGGTAGTCTGCCGTAACTGGCAATTTCTGAACTATAGCTTTTCTCCTGTACATTTACATATAAGATCACATACTAATTTTTTGACTCGTCATCGTCGTTTAGTCATGTCCGACTCTTCGTGACCCCATGGACCAGAGCATGCCAGGCCCTCCTGTCTTCCACTGCCTCCAGGAGTTCTGTCAATTTCATGTTGGTTGCTTCGCAGACACTGTCCAGCCATCTCATCCTCTGTCGTCCCCTTCTCCTCTTGCCGTCACACTTTCCTAACATCAAGGTCTTTTCCAAGGAGTCTTCTCTTCTCATGAGATGGCCAAAGTATTGGAGCCTCAGCTTCAGGATCTGTCCTTCCAGTGAGCACTCAGGGTTGATTTCCTTTAAAATTGATAGGTTTGTTCTCCTTGCAGTGCAGGGGACTCTCAGGAGCCTCCTCCAGCACCACAGTACAAAGGCATCAATTCTTCGGCGGTCAGCTTTCTTTATGGTCCAGCTCTCACTTTACATCACTACAGGAAAAACCATAGCTTTGACTATTCGGACTTTTGTTGGCAAGGTGATGTCTCTGCTTTTTAAGATGCTGTCAAGGTTTGTCATCGCTTTCCTCCCAAGAAGCAGGCGTCTTTTAATTTTTTGACTAATTGTATATAAATTTTCAAACCTCTCTGCATTTTCCTAGGATCCTTCTCTATTGTTTTGTACTTTTTATAGCTTTTTCTGTCGACTGATGGCTTCTACTGTCTTGCATTATTTAGTGCCTCTTCTGCCTTCACTCAGCCCCTTTACCTCTTGAGAGAAAGAAGGCAAGAACAGCCAGATCCTCTTCACTGCAATTGAGCAACCTTGCTCTGATAAACATTTGAACTTAGCCATTTTGATTTATTGCCCAGTTTTAACCATGCTTACTCAGCACTGATCAAGTTTTATATTAATAGGACTTTACAATAAACCACTTGAACATTTTCTCTCAAACATAAACAGCTTGTTATTTCTTGTTGTTGTTACTTCTGTCAAGTTGGAACTGACTTATAGCAACCCTAATAGGGTTTTCAAGAAGTGAGATGTTTAAGGAGTGGTTTTACTAGTTCTTCTTCTCCCCTAGTCAGTTTCCACGGCTAAGTGGGGATTCAAATCTATAACAAACAAAAAACTTCAAACTACTGTTGGATTCAGTTTTCAAGATGTTTTGTGGAATCAAACATAAGAGAAAGTTTTGCAATCTTTTATTCTCTTTGCACATGCTCAATGAACATTTGAGCTCCTTTTTTGTTATATGAATCTTTTTTTTCTTCATGCTGATTTTGAATCCCTCTAATTTTTGAAAATGCTAGGAAGATCAGCTCTTCATAATCATAAAAGATCTCTTTGACTCTTGATTTAGAGATCTGATAACTTAATCATTGTTCGGAAAGACAATTGGGAAGTTATGCAGATGTAGTATCACAGTATCTGAGCAGTAGCTTAAAAATTGTGGGGAAGGAACGTTACATATATTAGGACAAATCTGCTTTAACCTTGGCTTAAAATAACAGTATGTAGAGATCTAATTTGCACTGTTTGAATGCCAATATTCTGAAAATGTGTTTCTCTGTCTATCCTTAGGGTGCAAAGAAAAGTGCCATAGGCCAGCGCATTGTAGCAACCTTGCCGTATATCAAGCAGGAAGTACCCATCATTATTGTTTTCCGAGCCTTAGGCTTTGTCTCTGACAGAGACATATTAGAACATATAATCTATGATTTTGAGGATCCTGAGATGATGGAAATGGTAATTGCATTGATTTTTCTACACTCATTCTTGTCATAGAACAGTGTGTACTTAAAACATTTTTCTGTGTACGAAGCCCAGGATGAGAAGGTGGTTGCTGACATTTCACTTGTGTGATCCTGTTCTGCGCATGCTCATTTGCCAGTGTTTGATGTCATAAGTGTTGGGGAAGTTCCTCACCCTCTTTATGTTGTGTTTTTCTTTTTATATATGGCAGGTTAAGCCCTCTTTGGATGAGGCGTTTGTCATCCAGGAACAGAATGTTGCCCTGAACTTCATTGGTTCAAGAGGGGCTAAGCCTGGCGTCACTAAAGAGAAAAGAATCAAATATGCAAAGGAAGTTTTGCAGAAAGAGATGCTTCCACATGTTGGTGTCAGTGACTTTTGTGAAACCAAAAAGGCTTATTTTCTTGGGTATGTAAAAATAAATAATAGCGTACACCTGAAAACCTGTTTGCCTGTGGTTTGAATTAGCAGTCAAGATGTGAAGCCAGAAACCAGAAGAAATAGTGATCCACAGTAACTGGTCTGTAAAATATGCAGCATTGGTTTCCTTTCCAATAAATGTTTGAAGCAATGCAATTAAAAGTGTAGCATAATTAAACTTCTGTTCTTTATCTGTAAGGTGAAAAAACATTGTCTGTTAGAAACTGTACAAAAGCACTTGCAGCTGTTCATCTGGTAGTCCAAGTGACTGAGTGTTTTATTGCAGACAAGCGAAGTATATTTTAGTCTTCTGCTTGTCTTTGCAGTCACAAAGAGACAGGAACGTGTAAACCTTCAGGAAATAGGTCTTGGAGGGCAATGTTTATTTTGATTGTGCTGTTTTTATTGTTATTTAATTATATTTTATGATTTTGTAAGCTGTCCCGAGTAGACGCTGTCTAGGGGGGCAGGGTATAAATCAAATGAATAAATAAAAATAAATCCGCTGGGAGCATCACTGATACAGGAAGCCAAAGGGTAGACATCGGTGCCATTACCTACTGGAGATGAAATTTTGGATTGGGATGGTGCTGTATTAGAACTGGAGGCTTTTGAGCGCCTTTTGTTTCATGGGATGTTATGATGTAATTGGGCTCAAAAAGATGTATTTTCTTTTCTCTGCATCTGGAGTAGGGGCAGGTAGAAGTCCTTCATCGGGCGGGGGGACGGGACACATCTTATTCATCAATGTTTTGAAAACCAAGTGATGTATGTTATTTATATCATGCGTGTTTAAAAAATGTGGAGGTCCAGCTGCTGTTCAGTTCCTTTTCTGCCTCCTTTAGCTACATGGTTCATCGGCTGTTGCTGGCAGCCTTAGGGAGAAGGGAGCTGGATGACAGAGATCACTACGGCAACAAACGGCTGGACCTTGCGGGGCCCTTGCTTGCTTTTCTGTTCAGAGGGTAAGTCCAACAGCTTGCTGTAGCTATTTGATGATGGCCCGTATCAGTTTGAATCCTGGGAGGGATATGGATGGAATGTGACTTACTTTCTTTCTCCCCCACCCTCTGGTGAATAGGATGGTAACTGGGTGGTGCGGGGGTAGGTGGGTTTGCCCCAAATCAGGCATGTGACATGGGGAAGGCTGTGCACACAACATACCTAAACCCTTTTATTTTATTTTGGTAATGAATTTGAAGGCTAATATGTTCTGGACACGTTTTTGTAGTGGAGTTCAAGGCCTCTTACTTTGTGCCTGGAGGACTCCCAAGCTGATGTGAATGCTGGTCTTGTCCCTCATAATAGCCTCTTAGTGGTACACTCTGCTACCCTGAGCAGACTGGGTCTGGTCTGATGTCAGAAGGGAAGGAAGGTCAGTTCTGGTCGTTATGTGGACTGGAGATCTCAAGGAAGTACCTGCGACCTCTAGGTAGAGGTAGGAAAGAATGCTGCCTGAAACGCTAGAGAGCCACTGCCAGTCAGAAAGGATAATACTGGGCTAGATGGACAAATACTCTGACTTGGTAGAAGGCAGCTTCCTGTGTTCCTGCTAGGTAGCATACCAAAGTATATTTGAACGTGATGTCATTCTGAGCCTTTGTCTGTTATTTCTGGGGATTGATTTGAGTGGTCACAGAGAGAGATCTATAGTGGTGCCTCGTTTAATGACGATTATCCCTGTTTAAAAAATACATCTTTTTGCGAAGAATCGCTTCCTGAAGCAGGGAACCAATCATCGCAAAGCGAAAAAACCCTATTTAGACCATAGTGGGACAGATCTGTAGAGAATGGTTCTATGAACCTCCATTAGTGGTGATGGCTGTGTTACTGTCACTATCACAGGCAATATGCTTCCCAGGACCAATTCCTGGGGCATGCAAGCTCTTGCAGTCATTGGTGGCTTGTGGACTTCCCGGAGGCATCTGATTGGCTGCTTTGGGAACAGACTGCTGACTCTGGAAGGCCTTTGCTCTGATGCAGCCGGGCTCTACTTCGCAGTTCCTATGAATGACAGTCACATTGAAATCAGTGGAGTTGCATGGGAGTAACCTTCTGACCTGGGGCCGTTTTGTTTAGTACTTTGCATGGAGTTTTCTGGGGATTGACAGAAAACTTTCAGTTCAATTTCTTTTTCTGATTCCTTCAACAGAATGTTTAAGAACTTGTTGAAAGAAGTTCGAATATACGCACAGAAGTTTATTGACCGAGGGAAAGATTTTAACTTGGAGCTGGCAATTAAAACGAGGATCATATCGGATGGTCTGAAATACTCACTAGCTACTGGGAATTGGGGAGACCAGAAGAAAGCTCACCAGGCCAGAGCTGGCGTATCTCAAGTAAGTGTTCTGCCAACCTTCCGAAGTTATGTTCAGCCAAACAATTGTGTTTAGGTTTCAGGTCTCATATTCATCGTCCTGTTAGAGATTATTGCCTGTATTCATGGTTCCCAATTTTGATTAACTCAGGTGTTCTTGGATTGCAGCTCCCAGAAGCCATCATCACTAGCTGTGCTGGCCAGGGTTTCTGGGAGTTGCAGTCCAGGCACACCTTGGTTACCCAAGGTTGGGAACTATTGGCCTATATCATAGAAGAATATTCCTGTAGTTGTGATGGAATGGAGAATGAGAGCTGTTTGATTTGTTGGTTGAAAGCAATATACAATATTTCATTTTCTCTCCCTGGCCTATAGTCTGCCAGTTTTAGCTTCCAGAAAACCCCCAGCCTATTTTATACTGTACCTAAGAATCCCAGCTCCCCCTTGAATTGTTGCTTCTTTGTCTTCTTTCCCTTCACCCTCTGTCCACAGTTTATTCTGTTGCTTTTCCTTGAGCTTCGCTTCTGAGAGCCTTAGTTTCGTAGCTCTGAAGACTCCCCCTGGCCAGCCGCAGAGCCTCTCTGTTCTTAAGCATTCGCTCCTGCCACCTGAAATGTTCCTCCCTCTGTTTTTGGATAGTAGGTGGAAAGTCAGCTGCCTTGTGTGTCGGTTGTGTGACTCTTCCCCACCCTCCTGTAAGAAATTTAGCCAAAGCAGCAAGTGTCAGGTTTTTAACCCTTTCGGGACGGGTAGGGTTCTTCATTTACTAGAGAGCTGTCTTTCCTTCCCCCGATTCCCATGCTTGTCTAGTCAACAACTGAGGTTACCAGCTTCATTCTGATTATTTTTTAGTGACCAAAGAATTTGCTCAAAATTTTCCTTAGCATTTATAATGGAAATGTAGCATGATACCCATCTTGGCAGCAAGAACCGAACTAAGTCAAGGAACTGAACTCTTTTGAGAGAGCAGTCCTTTAAAAAATCATTGTAAAAGACCTTTGATGAAACTTCCCATGAACTCCCACAGAAGGATGTGGATTCTCCTTGTATGGGACCCACATTTACTTACTCGTACCTATGAGGTTGCACTGCATCCTAGTCCTTCTCTGTTTCTGAGCTGAGCTCTTTTGTCTTAGGTAGAAAAAATAGTCAAGGTAAGGTATGGGAAATAGTGCAAATGAATTTATGTTGACTATTTTTGGTGACTAAATATACTTGATATTGATACGATCTGGATTATATTTCTCATGTGTATACTTAAAAATGTTGTTATATCCTATATCTTCAAGGTGTTGAATCGTCTCACCTTTGCGTCTACGCTTTCTCACTTACGTCGCTTGAATTCCCCTATTGGGAGAGATGGCAAGCTAGCAAAGCCAAGGCAGCTGCACAACACCTTGTGGGGCATGGTTTGTCCTGCTGAAACTCCAGAGGTAACAAAGAATCTATTGAAATAACTTTGAGTGTGTGGGTTAATGCACATAATATAGTGCTACTCAATGCTATAGCAAAAGAGAAGTATAGATAAACAGAGATTGTTCTGCTAATAACATTTTTAGTAGTATGTTACTGGGACTTCTATTTTGGCAGTTAGGGCTTGGTTTTGGCTATTGTGTGAATCATCACGTTTGAGGGCCAAATTATCATTTCACAAATGGCTTAGATAATGATATCAAGAAGCAAGAGTAACCTTTATGCATTGCTGCAGCTTGCGTCCATGGGTTTTTTTTTTCATTTTGCAATGACAATTTGTTCCGATTTTTGACTTCATAGTCAAATTTGGTAATGTGGAAACCATTGGCCTGGGGCAGTGGCTCCCAACCTTGAGTTATCCAGGTGTTCTTGGACTGCAACTCCCAGAAGCCTTCAGCACCAGCTGTGTTGGCCTGGGGTTTTGAGAACTGCAGTCCAGGAACACCTGAGTTAACCAAGGTTGGGAACCACTGCCCTAGAGAAATGTGTTCCAGAAATCCTTGACTTTCTGAAATGCTTCATAGTGAAAACTAGCAGTGGCAGCCGTCATTTCTTGAAAAAGAACTTGCACTTGGCTATCAGTTTTCTGGTGCAGAGCTTCGTGGAGTACTGACCAGGTTTTAGGGCATATGTTCATTTGATACAGGTTGGTAGCGAGGCCCAATAGTGCTAAACGCTGCCTAAATTAAATGTGTGTCCACAACACACCCCATAATCCTCTGCATGGAACTTCTGTCCCCTGCAAAATTTTCTTAGCAGAAGGGTCAATGTGGATGTTCCATGAAGTAGAAAATGAGAAAACTTTGCTTTAAGCACAATCTGTCTTAGTAGAATAAGTGCCAGAATGTTTGTGTTTTATGGGCCTCATGAAGCTAGTGAATTATCTTGAAGACACTTCAGTGTGAATGCTAAGGAATTCCATCTGTTCCTAGGGTCATGCTGTGGGGCTTGTGAAGAATCTAGCTTTAATGGCGTATATATCTGTGGGGTCCCAGCCATCCCCCATTTTAGAGTTTTTAGAAGAATGGAGCATGGAAAACCTGGAGGAAATCTCTCCAGCAGCTATTGCAGAGTAAGTGAAAAATGTGGTTGCATTTCGGTATGTTCTCGGTGGCCGAGTCTAGTATACCCTACTCATAACTTTTTCTTCTTTCTGAAGTGCCACAAAGATCTTTGTGAATGGCTGCTGGGTTGGAATACACAAAGACCCAGAACAGCTGATGAGCACCCTTAGGAAACTACGTCGTCAGATGGACATCATTGTGTCAGAGGTAAATACTGAGTGGGCATTCTAGCTATACAGTGGTGTCTCGCTTAACGATTGTAATTGGTTCCAAAAAATTCATCGCTATGGGAAGACATCGCTAAGCGAAATACGTTTTCCCATTGGAATGCATTGAAACCTTTTCAATGCATTTCAATGGGGGAGGAAAAAAATCACCAAAAATTCAAAAAGAGTCAGAACGAACCCAAATTTGGTTAACAAAGGGTTTATTAAGTGCACTAACGATTTCAAGCACTCTAAACCCTTTTAAAACAATTTAACACCTTTTAAAAATAGCGAAAACGGAGCTGTCAAAAACATCGCTAAGCGAAACAGGGGGGACTAAACTGTCATCACTAAGCGAAGCAAGGTCCCGAACATCGCTATGTGAAATTTCCCCATTGAAAACATCGCTAAACGACGTGCAAGATCGCTCCAAAAACCTCATCGCTAAGTGAATGCAGCGTTAAACGAGGCAATCGCTAAGCGAGGCACCACTGTACTAGTATATTAATATTTCTTGGCTTATGAAAACTACTTAAAGGAAGAATGTTCATTTAGGTTTGTAAATGGATTCAGCTGAATCCATTTACAAACCTTAAATGAAACTTGTTCCTTTATGTAGATTTCAGCTGAATCCATTCACAGACCTAAATGGCCAGTTCTAGTACTTCCTGTATGGGACGTGGTGACACTGTGGGCTAAACCGCAGAAGCCTGTGCTGCAGGGTCAGAAGACCAAGCAGTCGTAAGATCGAATCCGCACGACGGAGTGAGTGCCCAGCACTTCTCCCAGCTCCCGCCAACCTAGCGGTTCGAAAGCATGTAAATGCAAATAGATAAATAGGGACCACCTCGGTGGGAAGGTAACAGTGTTCCGTGTCTAAGTTGCACTGGCCATGTGACCACGGAAGATTGTCTTCGGACAAAACGCTGGCTCTGTGGCTTGGAAACAGGGATAAGCACCGCCCCCTAGAGTCGAACACGACTGGACAAAAATGGTTAAGGGGAACCTTTACATTTTTAGTACTTCCTGTTATTGTGCTAAATATTTGCTGTTAAAAGTTGTGCTTGAGAATGTTGTTTGTTTCTCCAGGTGTCCATGATCAGGGATATCAGGGAGCGAGAAATCCGCATTTATACAGATGCTGGCAGGATTTGCCGCCCACTTCTGATTGTGGAAAAACAAAAGTTGTTGCTGAAAAAAAGGCATATTGACCAATTGAAGGAGCGAGAGTATAACAACTACAGGTAAGAAGCTCCCGAAGGATTTAGCTTTCTTTGGAGGGATTTTGTACCAGGCCCTTTCCTGCATCTCTGTTAGCATGGATAGAAGATATTTTGCTACTGAGTGTGCATTGCCACACACATGCTGGTCCTTGGATATGGTTCAAAAATGGCATTATATCACTGATTGCCAAGCCAGATTTGGCCTGGTCAAAGGATGAAGGCATTCCACCCTCATACAAAGCAGAGTGACTTTGGGTGTGCCCTTGAAGGATTTGTATGTCACAGTTCAAGTATCACTAACAATGCCATTCTTAAAATGAGTTCTTGCCACCGTTTGGGATGTGTTTCCCTCTGTTTATGAAAGGGAGTGGCCAGGATGCCAGCTGGCCAGGCCTTGGTCACCACGGGACTGACAAGAGGGGACGTGTGTAGCTAGAGCAGTGGTTCCCAACCTTGAGTCTCCAGATGCTCTTGAGCTACAACTCCCTGCAATCCTGGCCAGCACAGGTCGTGATGAAGGCTTCTGGGAGTTTTAGTCCAAGAACATCTGAGCACCAAGATTGGGAATCAGTGGGCTAAAGCCTTTGATCTTAAACAAATGGCAGTATTGAGGCTAAAGCCAGCCTCAGTGTATATGAGCGTGAATTAGTTGAGTTGTTGGGGGTGTGTTATCCTGTCTTTTCTGTCCCCATCCCAAATGATAGCTGAGGCACAGTTTACCAGCCTGGAATAGCCAAAGCAAATGAACATTTATGTGTTCACTAATCATTCTGTGATGTAAAACAGATTTAAAGCTTTAGGCTTAGACATACTTTCCCATTACCAGCCAAAGGAGGAGAAAGGGAGATATCATGGTGACTTTGGATTTCACCTGTCGCAGAAGGGCAATATCTGCATCAGATTTTGACTTCCAAAATAATTAAGGTGTTTTGTTTAGCTGGCAGGATCTGGTGGCCAGCGGTGTGGTGGAATACATTGACACTCTGGAAGAGGAGACGGTTATGCTGGCCATGACTCCTGATGACTTGCAGGAGAAAGGTGTTGCGTATTGTTCAACCTACACACATTGTGAGATTCACCCGTCGATGATCTTGGGAGTCTGTGCATCTATCATCCCATTTCCGGATCACAACCAGGTTTGTATGATTTGATGGTTGCCTATAGTGAGTATAAAAGGGACATGGTGGTGCTGCGGACTAAACCGCAGAAGCCTGTGCTGTAGGGTCAGAAGACCAGCAGTCGTAAGATCGAATCCACATGACGGAGTGAGCGCCTGTTGGTTGTCCCAGCTCCCGCCAACCTAGTGGTTCGAAAGCATGCAAATGCGAGTAGATAAATAGGGACCACCTCGGTGGGAAGGTAACGCTGGCTCTATGGCTTGGAAACGGGGATGAGCACTGCCCCCTTTACCTTTATAGTGAGTATGGGACAGTGCGTATGCATATATTTAGAATTTCTTCTTAATTCTGATTCTTCTGCTTTCTTCATAGTCTCCCAGGAATACATACCAGTCTGCTATGGGCAAACAGGCCATGGGTGTTTACATTACCAATTTCCATGTGCGCATGGACACCCTTGCCCATGTGCTGTATTATCCTCAAAAGCCCTTGGTGACTACGCGCTCTATGGAATACCTCAGGTTCAGAGAGTTGCCAGCTGGTACGTTTGCAAGCTCTTGTTCTGTGTATAGAAATGTGCTCGTGAGGAGGACAGCTTTGTGTAGGCAGCCACGGCTTTCAGTTCAGCCCCTAGAGCTGAGGGGGACCTAGAAGCAGATTATTTGACACACACACAACTTTCTCTGGAGCTTTTTAGTTCTTGGGTGGTCAGGAAAGGGGCCTGGCTGCCTCTGTTGAGGGCCTGGAGCCCTCCAGTTCTTGACTTTTCAATATGAAAGGGTGAAAAGTACCAATAGCAAATGAGCATGGATAAATTTGATGGGCGAGATGTGGGTCGTATTGCTACACTGATCTTTAATGGGAGCAGCTTTGGGATTGCTGTCCCTGGGAGTAGAGGCACATTTATTGATGTCTGTAAAGTTCTGAACTTTAATCTGATTGGCTAGTCGAGAGCATTGCTCTTTTGTATGGTCACTGTCCCCCCCTCATCCCCCCCATGACCTTATTTCTATCATAGCAGAAAGAGGTGCTAAAGAGGTTTGTCTCATAACATAAATTAAGTTCTTTTTGTTGAGCCACTGCAAAAACTGCATCACCAGAGTGTGTGGCTTATATTTAATTACCATCCCTTGTTACTAATAACGTCCAGGTTTTCCGTCAAGTGGACGACTACCCTCATTTGATGCCCCAAATATCTTTCAGAACAGACTGCTCTTTGGCATTCAGCAATAGCATAGCCACAGTGATACACTGGTAACTGTATTCATAGCAGTTTACCTTTATGCACACTTGTCTTCTGAACACTAGTTGTTAGTTGTACCTGGGTATGCACTTCTTTACCACAGTCTGCAAAGAGGGAGACATTAAGAATTGCAAGCAAAATCCTTGCAGCCCCATGTCAGAACAAGGTAACCACGTTTCCCTGAAAATAAGACAGGGTCTTATATTAATTTTCGCTCTAAAAAACGCATTAGGGCTTATTTTCACGGAATTTTTTTTTCAGTTACAATAATCTACATTTATTCAAATATAGTCATGTCATCTTCTTCTGGTTGCTGCATAATGGTGGAGGGTGGGTTTCACTTAACTGGGGCTTATTTTTGCGGTAGGGCTTATATTACGAACATTCTGGAAAATCATACTAGGGTTTATTTTCAGCTTAGGTCTTATTTTCAGGAAAAGAGGGTAGTTCTTCTACTTCACAGGAATGTTGCCAGGATCTTCCACAAGGGGTCACTGCTTGTGTTTGTGAAGTTGCATTTGGTAAAGCTGTGCGTAATGGTCCCCCATTGTGCTTCTGTATGCAGAAAGCAGAACATCAGAGCACTTTATATAGTGTTATAAATAAGTTGCATCTGTGCAAGCGACAGTACATGATGGCTAATGCATGGTCTTGGTTCCTTTATAGGCATCAACTCGATTGTGGCCATAGCTTCGTATACTGGATACAATCAAGAGGACTCTGTCATCATGAATCGTTCTGCTGTGGATAGAGGTTTTTTCAGGTCTGGCCTGACAAACCCTAACTTTCCAGAGACTGTCCTAAAACATTTCACTTGATGCCTGGAAGGAGTGGGTGGTGAAATATCTGGACTGGGGCCAGGTTTCCCATACATTCCCTGGGCCCAATATCAGAGGGTGAGGTGATCCTCCAGCACACTGGTTCTTAACCTTTGTTACTCAGATGTTTTTGGACTGCAAATCCCAGAAGCCTTCACCATCAGCTCTGCTGGCTGGGGTTTCTGGGAGTTGCAGTCCAAAAACACCTGAGTAACAAAGGTTAAGAACCACTGCTCCAGGATACCATTTGCTCCCTGACCAAAACCCTTGCTGGAATTTCACAGGGGATCCTGGGCTCCATTTTTCTACTTCTTCTGAGTGAGGAAAGGAAGAATGCAGAAGACTCATCTAGCCCTTCAGGTGCCATGGGGTCCTGACTTCAGGAGATTGCCAGATCATGAACGAATAGATTCAGTTTTATTGCTCCTTCTCTACAGGGAGAGCATCAAGCAGGAGTAAAACAGCCAAGCTGCAGCTTGGGTATTCTCTCCCCCTTTCTCTCCCCCACAGGCTGAACATTCCGCTACTGATAGGAATATGGTGATAGGTCAGCACTGCAACCTTCGTTGTCTTAAGATTTTGTTACAATACATTCCACTTTCTTCTTAGCTTTTTAATAATGGATGCACTAGAGGAATGGATTTGATCTGGGACATCAGGCTACTGATAATAATATGAATATTTTATCACTATCCTGTTTACCTAAATGGCTTATTGCCCCCCTTTCTGCTCCCCCAATATTGGGGGTCTATTGATGCTCGTCAGGTCATGCCCTGTTGTAACATTGTCTGAATAGGGAGAGTGCTGTTGGAGCTAATTGTGTTTCTATTTCCCCCATCAGATCAGTGTTCTATCGTTCATACAAAGAACAGGAGTCCAAGAAAGGATTTGACCAGGAGGAAGTGTTTGAGAAACCCACTCGTGAAACATGTCAAGGTGAGAGTAGACAGAAGTTGCCCTGGGCCATTCTTGAGGACTGGGCTGGCAGGTGTCTGTTCTGTCATAGAACTTGACTAGTTTGACTCTTAAGTTCTTATCCATTGCCGAGAACAAGGAAATGGCTTATTTTCTCCCATTGGCTGGCAGCCCTTTGTGTCCCACAAACAGTCGTTAATTCAGTTAATTACTTTTGATGTGTTAATTGTCATCAATTAGAATTCATTGTAGGAAGCAGTAGCTAACCGTTTCATAGCAAGCCAGGGTGTGAAATCAAATGGAAACGGTGTCATCATATACTAGCTTGTTAAAAAGCTGGTTGTATGTAGCATTTTATTTTAGTTGAGAGTTTTTGGTTTGTGGGTGCATTCATGCTTAGGGAGGAGCAAAGAAACTGCATTTAGGGGCTAAGAAGCTTATTCACATCTGGATTTGTGAAATGACGTGTGATTATCCCAACACAGCCATGGTCTGGGAGAAAAAAAACAGCTGACTTCTAGGGATTACCCATTAAATTATGTTGTAAACATGCTAACCTGAATTTATTTAATTGTTGCACAATTGGGCATTGTAAATACCCTAATGCCAGTTAAGTGTTCCCTCAGTCAGCACTCCACTAGAAACTTTCAACTGGTCTCTAAGATACCACTAAAGGGTGACACAGGTAACTGCTGATGAATGAGAAATGTCAACTACATACTTCATTTGCGGTGTCTGTTTATTTGTATCACTGGCTGCTGTTGGAAGTGACAGATCCCCGGATTTATGGATGGTTCTTATTCTTTTCCCCTATACATACCAATATACCTGTAGAGGTTTCTTAGCTTTATGGCATCATGGCCATAAAGACAAGTGCAGAAGTGAGGTTTCCCTTCGAAAATCTTCCACTGTCACCCAGTCGACCTAAGAAAATATGGTATTTGATACAACCAAATTTAAGAAACCCCTCTGTTGGCTTGTTTAAAGACAGAGGAATTTAAATCTAGTATGCATGAATTGTAATGTGCAGAACATCAGCCATGTACAGTGGTGCCTTGCTTGACGAGGATAATTCGTTCTGTTCAAATCGCTGTTAAGCGAAATCCTTGTCAAGCGAAATGAAAAAGCCCATTGAAATGCATTGAAAACTGGTTCAATGTGTTCCATTGGGCAAATTACCTCAGTGTCCAGCGAAGATCCTCCATAGGGCGGCCATTTTCCAGTGCCTGTAATGCGAGGAAGCTGTTCTAAAGCCCAGCGGGGAGCCATTTTGCACAGCAGGCAGCCATTTTGAAACTCGATAATCAGCTGTTTTTGATTGGCATTAAGCGAAAAACCGGTTCCCGAAGCATGGGACCAATCCGCGTTAAGCGAAAAAAGCCCATTCAGTCATCGTTTAGCAATCGCAGTAGCGATCGCAAAAAACTAATCAAGCGATTTCCTCATCTAACGAGGTAATCATCAAGCAAGGCACCACTGTATTGTAGCTTGCCAGGGGTGAGAACATATCCTGTCTCCCTCCTCGCACGTTTTTGAAACCCTAGCCAGAGAGGGGGGGCAAAATGGGCTGGTAATCTGATTTGGTTGTGTCCAAGTGGGCCAGTTTCAAGCTTTGCAGGGCCAATTCAGGTAGACCTCCAATCTCTGTTTCGTTTCCTTAGGGATGAGGCATGCCATCTACGACAAGCTGGATGATGATGGCTTGATTGCCCCTGGCGTGCGTGTCTCGGGAGATGACGTGATCATTGGCAAGACTGTCACCTTGCCAGAGAACGAAGATGAACTGGAGAGCACCAACCGCCGCTACACCAAAAGAGACTGCAGCACTTTTCTGCGCACGAGCGAAACCGGCATTGTTGATCAGGTCATGGTTACCTTGAATCAGGAAGGGTACAAGTTTTGCAAAATTAGGGTAAGTGTAGGAGCGGTGCTGGGCAAGAAAGAAAAATATCTAACATTCGTGAAGAGTTTTTAGTCACTACTTGTGTTGCTTTTACCTCCAGGTGCGCTCTGTGAGGATCCCACAGATTGGAGATAAATTTGCCAGCAGGCATGGTCAGAAAGGTACCTGTGGTATCCAGTATAGACAAGAGGTAAAAAGCTCCAGTCATGAGTGTGAGGGAAAATTGGGATGGAAATGAATGATCAGCCTTTATATCAGCAACAGCAGGATTGGCCAGGTCTCGTGATCTCTTTCTAGGGCCCATTGTGGGAGGTTTCTCTTGCCAGGACCCGCTTGTTCCTCCTTCAAACCAAAAGTGGCTTCATAGAAAATTTGATTTTGTGCAAAGCGAGGTGTTGGGAGTTTTTATGTCTTGTTTTAAAGGACAGTTGTGTTTCCTGGAGGGTTCCAGAGATGCATTGCTCCCTTTTGTCTACAAGGAAATGTTTTGGGTAGGGGCTTTGTTTCCATAACTTGCAGAATTGGGTGGATAATGGCCAGCCCTCTGCAGACTGTGGATTTCGTGTTGCCCACGTCTGCTTGAATGAGCTAGAGTTCACCTTCTAACACTCAAGGCTTAACAGTTTTAAACACAAGACTGCAACAGTCACAAAATTCAGAAATTCAGCCTGAAGCATATTCTTAAAAAGTTGTTTTTTACCAGTCAGTTCAAGATGACCTTGAAGTAACTCTGTGGGTCCTCTGACAGGAAGAAGGTGTTTGGTAGCCCCACTGAGAAGGAATGGTGCACTTCAGTCCAGACGCTTTAGGGATATAAAAGGTCCCACCAAAAGAGATACCCATGCAGCAACACTGGGCCTAAGCATTTAGGAAGTTGAAGGACAGAACCCACCGTCTTAAGCTGGGCATGGAAATATACTTTGAATCTGTGCAATTGCAGAGCAAAAAGCAGTTTCATGTTTCTTGCAACCAGTCCATGTTATGCAAGAATTCTGAAGTGGTTGAAAAATTCTGGATGAAGTTCTCAGCCCAACAGATAATGCTTACAAGTACAGTGGTGCCTCGCATAGCGATCACTCCGTTTAACGAAGAAATCGCTTTGCAACAATGTTTTTGTGATCGCTTAGCGATGGTCCCTATGGGGAAAATTCACTTTGCGATGATCTCAGGGAAGCGATCATTGCAAAGCCCCCATTTTCGGCCAGCTGATCGGCGGTTCCAAAATGGCCGCCGGGTAAACAAAATGGCCACCTGCTGTGTTGCCTCACTTTAGAGGCACCGACAATGGCCGCCCCTATGGAGGGTTTTCGCTTAAGGTTAGTTTTTAAGCCCATAGGAACGCATTAATGGCGTTTTAATGCGTTTCTATGGGCTTTTTAATATCGCTTAGCGATGAAATCGCTTAGCAGTGATTTTTGCTGCACGGATTAACATCGCTAAGCGAGGCACCACTGTATAATAAAATCAAAGTGTGTTTAAACTGTCTGGAACAGGCAGCATGGGTCAGAGAACCTGCTAGAAGAAAAATATTTTACAGTCATCCTCAGAACTCTGGTGACTTGCACTAAGTCAATAAGCATCAAGCAATCCATAGTTAAGGCTTAGATGTATTGTTATGCTGAGGACAGGAGATAGCAACTGGTGTTTTTTAATGTTTTTCCTAAGGATATGCCTTTCACCTGTGAAGGAATAACTCCAGATATAATCATCAATCCCCATGCCATCCCTTCACGTATGACCATTGGTCACTTGATTGAATGTCTGCAAGGGAAGGTAAGAGCATGTTGGTGCTAGTTGAGGCATTGCCCATTTTGCCCTGTTTGTGAGTTTTCAGATGCATCTGGTTAGGCACTGATGAGACAAAACACTGGACAAGCCCCAGATCTGCCGGAACTCAACATAAGTGTATTCTTGTGCTGAGATTCAGCCTTGATCTCTTGTGGCACAAAAGTCACAATCCAGAGAGATAATCCTAGGCACAGGCAAAGACTCAAAACCACCCTGTGGGAATTTTGGCACGAACAGCAAACCACTGTAGTTGTGTCCCAAGGTCCTTTAAAAAACATCAGTATTCGTTTTTTTATCATGTGTTTCTTCCCTAGAGTTCAGTGCACTTTGTCCATCCCCTCATTTTTATTTCAGTAACAGACCTTCAGTGCACTTCACACTTGAAAGGGGATTTGGATGCAGGTCTCCTCAGTTTTAGTCCCATCACTCTTTCTGCTACACCATAGTGTCCTTTAAAATGCTTTTGAGTTGTAGAATGGTGATAGGCAGGTGTTAGAATTGTCTTCTGTTTTCCAAACGTTGCTGCGACTCAGCAAAAGTACCCTCCCCATCCTTTTTTTAGGTGTCTGCAAACAAAGGAGAAATTGGTGATGCCACACCTTTCAATGATGCAGTCAATGTACAGAAAATCTCAAATTTACTGTCTGACTATGGCTATCATCTGAGAGGAAATGAGGTATGTTATAGTCACAGCAGTGATTACATGTCTGCCTGTTTGTGTTGCACTGGTATTTTACTACAGTTTAACATTCACTGCGCATTTCCTCTTCTCTAGGTTTTATACAATGGCTTCACGGGTCGCAAAATCACATCACAGATTTTTATTGGCCCTACTTATTATCAGCGGTTGAAACACATGGTGGATGATAAAATCCATTCCCGCGCAAGAGGGCCAATTCAGATCCTCAACAGGCAACCTATGGAAGGTCGATCACGGTAAGAAATGGATTTGTGCTCTCCTCCTTTCCACTTCTCATAAGCAAAACCTGTGAGATCTATCGGGCACAGAGGCCCCATTCTTCCTCGAAATCCGACTTAGCAGTAATTCTGGTTGAGATTTCCTTCAGTTTTGCCCATGAATTTTCCAACACATCTTTGCCAAACGTGAAGGCTAAAAAATTGATTTCAGAAACAAAAGTGAAAACGGATATAACCTGGATTCTCTGTAGTGAAGGAGCTACCCAGGAGTGGGTACCTCCTACCACTGCCCCCAAGCAATTGGGAGTGTGTGAGTGTCATGTATTCAGAAGTCTTGACTTACTGTACAGAATTCATGCTCTGTCCCCAGTTGTAGTTTGCCCACTGACATAATTTGAACACACAACTGTGTGACTAAGCGCCCCTTTGATTCTCCTTCATGCTCCATCTGTGCTGACATCATTTGATACGTAGTGCAAATAACATGAAAGATATGTATGCCGCTTTTAGTATATTCTGTGGAACATTTGTTGTGAAAATGCACCTTGTACACAAGCTAGATTCTGTTCTGTTGGTTTATTACTGGACTGTTTGTGTGTGAAGGGGGGTTGGATGTCAGCACACTGGGTAGCCTAGTTTGGGAAAAGATGGAAATAAACTTGTTTTTGTTTTCTCAGCGATGGTGGTCTTCGTTTTGGAGAAATGGAACGAGACTGTCAGATTGCTCACGGAGCAGCACAGTTCTTAAGGGAAAGATTGTTTGAGGCATCAGATCCGTATCAGGTTCATGTGTGCAACTTGTGTGGTTTAATGGCAATAGCAAATACCCGGACGCACACATACGAGTGCAGAGGCTGCCGGAATAAAACACAGGTATGCGAAGAACTGAAGCACACAACCTGCTCGCCAAAACTCTGCAGCTGTCATAGTTGGTCCTCTCCAGCTTCTTTGAGTTCCATCTTGGTCCTGCCTTCTGGCCTTCTGTGGCAGCATTTCTTTTTCTCTTTAAAGCATGCTGCAAAATCAGTTTATTCTACCAAACCCTTGTCTTGAGGAGCATAGCCTTATCTATTTTGTGCTATCTGCTCTCTGTTAGTCACAACAGGGCTGTGTTGGGTTTCTTTACATGACAAACGTTTTGGGTCTTAGAGTTCACGTAAAGCTAGTATCACCTTAGTTGTATGAATGACTTAGCCATCCAGAATGACCAGGATAGTCTGCTGCTGTGAACTCTTCTAAAGACCTTGAGCAAATTGCAATTGCTGTCTTGGCCCCATCTGCAGTATAGAGACAATAATGACGATCAGATTTTTGGATTAAAGTGAAACTTGGAAAAAAATTGAACTGCTGTATACCCGCAGAGTATTTGTTTTGTCACTTCCTGGCTAAGATCCTGTGTAAGGCTGTTGATGTCACCCACCAAGGTGATTTATTTATTTATTTTGGAAATAGTTCTCCCCTTGCAGGTTCCAAGGCTCCTATGAAATCCTCTTCATTGTCAGGAAGCCATTGGGGGGCCTTGGTATGGTGTGGCGGAGGCAGGGGGCAGATAGTGTCTTAAATTTTAGAAGATTGCTGTTGCTGGTGCAGTCATCCCAACAGCAGCAGTTTTCAGTAGCTGAAGAGCTCCTCCTCCTGTCCCACAGTTCCTGTTGGCTTCCTGGCAATGAAAGGGATTTCTTAGGAGCCTTGAGATCTTTAGGGGAGAAATCAGAAGTATTTTGTTTCCAAAATATTTGCTGTGGCTAACAACATCATCAGCCTTAATGTAGTGTAACTTAACAGCCGTGTTCAAACTATAAAATGCAGATTTGATATTTCCTAGTTATGGCAATGTACTTATTGGGTATGTAAACTTAAGGAATCATAGTCTGCTCCTTTACATCAGATTCAGATAAGGCAGCCGATACTTTGATTGGTGTTTTAGATCACTGGGTGAAGTCCAATAAACTCAGGTCAAGATTGAGTGGAGGTTTTTGGGATAGCTTGTTTATCAGACTAGGAAGATGGTGTTGAGATCCTTTGGCATTGTTTTGCACTCTCTCTAAACGATCCACTTTAGCTAAACAGATCTCCTTGTAACCTATGGATTTGCTAACAATATGATGTGCATGGTGTCATGTTTCAAGATGCATCTGATGTCCTTGTTAAGTTGTAATTGGCTTGAAAGCTTACCACATAAGCACTTTGTTATCCCGCACAGGTCCTTCAAAATAGCACATTTGTGATTGCAGGCCATCCTTTCAGTCCCCCTGCCAATTTTAGGCACATAGTGACTTGTAAAGACTTTCTCAATTGTAGCATGAAGAAGAATGCATTCTCAAAGAATCTTGCCCAATGCTGAATTTGACATGGTGCTGACACTAAGCAGTTTGTCATTTTCCAGTTATTTCACAGAATGTTAGTTGAAACTGGTTTTAATGTGATGGTTGTTGTGAGTTTTTCGGGCCGAAAAACCCACAACAACCATTAGATCCCAGCCACGAAAGCCTTCGCGAATACATTTAATTTGATGGTTTTCTTTTTTGTCTGCTGGAGCTTATCAAATTGCACTAGCATAGGCCTGTTGAATCAATGAGGATTTAGTGAAGCAACTCCTTCATAAGTTCCATTGATTCAAATGGGCCTAGCTAAACTGCAGTTTAGCATAGCAAGTCATAGGCCCATTTGAATCAATGGAACTTATGAAGAAATTGACTCACCAAATTCCAGTTGATTCAGTGACACAACTATAGATTGATTTGCTACACTGAACAACAAGATTTTAGCCACTGTATTGTTTATGTTGCTCCGTATTGAGGATAATGCTGATTTATGGAATTCGGTTTTACTGCTGTGAACTTGAGCTTTGTATTTCGAAATGTGCATGTATTTTTGCTAACATCTGTTAACCATCTCTTCGCAGATTTCTCTGGTAAGAATGCCATATGCCTGCAAACTGCTTTTCCAGGAGCTGATGTCAATGAGTATTGCACCTCGAATGATGAGTGTGTAACCTTCAAAAGATCCCCTCTTGTTATAGCTCTTCCCTGATCTCTGCCGTGCATTTTCCAGATGTAGGTGTCTCTTTAAATGGACATATTTTATTGCTGATGTTTTCTGATGCTTTAGTATGTGAGGTGTGTGTTTTTGTAAATAGAAATAAAAGCTTTTCAATCATGTGTCTAGTTGTTAAATAGTTTATTGGTATTTCAGTAAAAGTTGCACAAGAAATGAGTGACTAGAGAAGCTTGAATGGTTTAGTAAACGGTAGAGTTTCCCCACAAGGTTAACATAAACTTGGCATAGACAATAGCTTCTACCTCTTCAAATGCATTATATACTCTTCACGTTTCACAGCTCGGCACTCTCACCTGCAAAGATAATGGTATAAGGCCATAAAATGAATAGGATTATATCTTCCTTGAAACATCCACTAGATTGAAAAACTCTATTAATATTTCAACATATATCTTAGAAGCAATAAAATATGTTTCACATGAGAGAGAACAGTAGTCACACCTGCACCAAGATATTTAAGACTGCATTTATGAAGAGAGGACTTGTCTAGGATTACCAAGGCAAACCTTGAGGAGTCCAATACTCCTGCAGGCTGCTTCATACAAGATTGCTTCCAGTAAGGAAGGCTGTGTGCTCCCCTGTAATCACCAAAGCAAGTGAGTTCTCTGGTTTGCTGCTCCTCCTTGACGTTAGTTGAAGATGGAGCCAGATATGAGTAGAAGTCTATCCTGTTCTTCTTGGTAGGCTCTGCATGTGTCTTCCAAGGATCCTCTTGATTCACAGTCATCTGACATTAAGGAACTACTGTTTATAAACCCAACCTGATTTTCTGACATCTTGGTCACGTTCTGAATTCTCATTCATGATTCCCATCCTTATTGCCATTTGTGACAGAAACCCTGTCCAATCTGCTGGGTGGTGCTTGTGGCCAGCCTATCCTGAAGCTTGAAGGAGGTGGGGGGGGCTGAAGGGCTAAAGAAAGAACGTGTGCATTGTTGGGTTGTAACTGACTTGGATCTGAAGCTCAGATCTGTTTGCCAAGTTGACGTTACTTTGTAATAAAAAGAATATCATTTTTCATCCTTTAACCACTGGTGTGCTTAATGACTGATGTCCAACCTTTTAATGGAAAGATGCTTTAAGAAGTGACAAGGCTAGTCTGGGAGGGGACTACACCATGTATCAAGCAGACCTATATCATGTGTAGCAGAACAAATTAACATTCTACAAAGCAATTCTAAAAATGGGGGCCCAAACAAGAACTTATTACAGTGGGGTCTCGACTTACGAACGGCTCGACATACGAACGTTTCGACTTACGAACTGCTCTCATAGGAGTATATGGACTCGACTTACGAACTTAGATTCGAGTTACGAACTCTTTTTTCCCTTTTTTTTAAAGCTAAGTCATCTTAGGTTAAAAGGAAAAAAGAAAAAATATCCCCCTCTAGTGGCAGAAGGCGGAATAGCAGCTTCCCATTAGTTTCTATGGACGAAAAGAGCAGATACGGATTAAATGGTTTTCAATGCATTCCTATGGGAAATGCAGATTCAACTTAAGAACTTTTCGACCTGAGAACTGCCTTCCAATACGGATTAAGTTCGTAAGTCGAGACCCCACTGTACTTTGAAACTGGGTTTTGGATCAGCATCAAATGTGACACAGTTGGTCCTATTCCCTGGCCCTGTTCCAAATTTGGAGACATTTGGATAAAGGGTTTTCAAGTTATGATTTTTTTAAAGTAAAACTTCCCCATTCAGAAATACAGTGGGGTCTCTACTTAAGAACTTAATCCGTATTGGAAGGTGGTTCTCAAGTGGAAAAGTTCTTATGTAGAATCTGCATTTCCCATAGGAATGCATTGAAAACCATTTAATCCGTATCTGCTCTTTTC